GATTCACTATGATGAGAGCTGTGGCCGCTGCAATGCAAATCGCCAGCAGGAGATACGGGATCACAATGGCCTTCCCTTGGGCGGAGTTGGAGAGGCAAAGAGCTGTAGGAAGCAACACTGGTTAGAACTCTCAATGCAGGATCAACCCCACCTAACATTTACTTTGAGGGGAGACTCCAGGCACTGAACATGGTTTCCTAAAAGAGATGATAACTGGACAAGGGGAAGGGAGGGATTCATCATAGGGTAAATACCTTGAAATAGTTCTCAATTTTCCCTGTGTTCCATTTTCCATGTTGGGAATCGCTCTCTCTTTTGGCAATATGGGGAGGGCAGGGTGAGTGTTACCTCCAGATTGAGAAGCCCCTGCCTTAAAGGCAAAATGAGAACCCTCTCAGGCTCTAGTGGGAAGATATGGGCAGGCTCACAGGACCAGTTTTGTCCCTGGAATAGTAACACTGAAAGCACTGGAGTGACCCAGGGATGAGTTTGCCCCATGATAAAAATTGATTTTATGTGGATGATGGGAATATCCAGATTTAACCAAGATGCGAATTGGGAGAGAGATAGAGAAACTATCCTGATTGTTGGCACCGGCCAACCTCAAATTAGCAAAGCCAGGAATCGGACCCAAGCCTCCTGACTCCCAGGGTAGCTCCTTAATCACAAGCCCACCCTTCCTCGGTCCAGCTCACCTTTACCGCCTCTCCCAGGTGCACTGCTCTGAATTGTCCCATTTGTGGTAGGAGCAGTCCAGATGCATGGCTGTGGATGTCTCTGTTCTGCTCCTCTCGTCGGTGCAGTTTATATTGATAGGAGCCGTCATCATGCCTTTCCGGGGGAACGGATGCCTGTGGTCACACTTCCCATTTTCACAATTGTCAGGTCAGGGACCTTGGCCCAACCATTTCCTCTCCATGTCAGTACAGAATCATAGTGTTGTTGGGATATGTATCATTGAGGCCTGGTATGAATGACGCAACCGAAGCACAGACTTAGATCAAGGACTATTAAAACTCTTTGTGCAAAAACAGTCTTACGTTCCAAGAAAAATATAGAAAATCATCAGATAAGGAAATAACACCAGCTGGACTGATATACAATTGTATAAGAATTGCAGGAAATGGCATGCCTTTGGTCATGGAGGCCTGCCCAGGATTATTTCTCTGGAATTTTGCGGGTAGAAGGCCTAGTAAACAAAGGCAAAGAACCCATGACGCGACTGAATGGACCATAAATGGATGCCTGTGATTTCTGCAAGTCGGAGTTGTTTATTGATCCAGAGTCCCGTGTGGATATAGATGTGGCTTTGCCGGCTCCCCGCATCTTATGATCCTATCCTGATGGAAGGAAACTAGACTGGCAACTGGGACCATTCTCACCTTTGGACTCTGGTATAGTATGTTTTGGGTGTGAATGTGAAGTGAGCGAGGTTTGTTTTGTAATCCATAAAGAGTATTTAGAGTATTATATACCAACACTGTGTCCAGTATCTGCTTGCTCCCCATCCCGTAGGGAGACCTCTATTGTGGGTCTAACAAGTGGTGGAGAATAATAATAATGCGGAGTGGGGGGATTTATTAAGTAGTGCTGGATTTCGAGATGGGGTCTTACAGTATTGGGGGAGTCCTTATTTAAGACTAATAAGGGTGACTCCTTTTTGTGAAATTTGTAA